TGTGCCAAGCATTTCATTGTAGAGCTGTCCCTAAACTAACAGACTCTTGGACTTTCCAAAAGGATATGAAGTTCAGGTCAGCTTACAGACCAAAACCTCTCATCCAGTCACAACAACCCATGCAGAACTCAAGATTTTATTCTCATCCACGTTGCTGCTCTTTTGCCAGTAGGAAGGAGCATATTGATTGTTTTTTGTTTGTCTTGCTCAGAGTGTTTGCCAGTGATTGTTTAGTTAGTTGTCACTGCAGACCTTGGTGCTGTAGCTGTCAGTGATGGTTTCTCTCTCAGTTGTCCTGTAGGGCTGTGTTTTCTTTTTCTGAGGAAAATTAGGTATCTGGTCAAGCACTCTCAGACAGGAGCTCATAGCCCACCTGGCAACTTTCTGCAGCAGCACTGTGCCATTCTGAAGAGATGGACATTGTTGCCTGCAGTGCTGCCTTGATCTCTCACAGACTGTGACAGGGGTGTGCATATCTCAGTGTTGGCAGAGTGAATTTCTCCAGTGAAGGTACCTTCAGAAGGATCCTATGATGACCTTGGTCGCAAGTCTCTCACACTCACTGCTTTTGCTTAGCAAAATACACAGACCGTCCAGGGTCTGCTGCTATACAAGTTCTCAACCAGCACACAGAGCAGTCCCTTTACCACAGTCGCCACAGTGAATGTGAAGTCCCTTATTCATCCTTCAAGTCCCTGGGATCAGTCAACAGCCAGGGTGAGGCTGTGGACGGTCTTACCTCACTGGGTCCTAAGGAGGCAGCATGGTAACCAGGCCCTTACACCTGGCACACACATGGTGCAGGATGTGTGGCCACTGGTATTGGCACAACTAGTTTACTGGCTGTGCCACACAGGAGCTGAGTTAGCAGGGTCCCTCTCCACAGAGAAGATTGTGGCAGCCTGTGCTAGCACTGCTCTTGTCACCATGCCTGTCACTTTACCTCCCACCGCTCACTAGAAGGCTGCCCAGCATGACAGTTATCTTGGCACATACTCTCTTTTGCATTAGGTTAAACTAATCTCTTGGTTTCTTTCAACGCAGGCATCCTTCCATGAAGCCTTCCTCTCTTCTGAGTAGTAGCCTACTGAGATTCTTAATGTTCTTGGCATGTTTCCTGCCTCCCCTGCAGGAAAAGACTGCTGCAGAAAAGGAGAGAAGGAGAGATGTCACTGCTCAAATCTCCATGCCATCATGTCAGCTTTGCAGAGAAGAACTGGGGGGCCTGGAGGACACCAAGTTGACCATCAGTCAGCAATGACTTGTGGCAAAGAAAGTCAACAGCATGATGGGCTGCATTAGAAAAAGCATTGCCAGTAGGTAAAGCGAGGTTATCCTTCCACTCTCCTTAGCACTGGTAGGACCACAGCTGGAGTGCTGTGTTCAGCTCCGTGCTTTCTGGTACAAAAGAGATGTGGATGTACTGGAGCAGGACCAGAAAAGAGCCACAAAGATGATGAAATGATTAAAGTAGCTGTCATGAGAGGAGGGGCTCAGAGAGATAGGACTTGTTATCCTGGGGAAGAGAAAGTGCAGGGGGGAATCCTATCCATGTGCATAACTTACTTGATGGGAGGGTGAAAAGAAGATGGAGCCAGATTTTCTCCAGTGAACAGGCAAGAGGGAATGGACATAAATTGAAATAGCATAAATTACATTTAAACATAAGAAAATGCATTTGTTTATGGGGAGGAAGATAAAGCCAGGTTGCCCAAAGAGGCTGTGGAGTCTTGATCCTTAGAAATACTCAAAACCCAGCAGGACAAAGTCCCAAGCAACCTGCTGTAGCTGACCCTGCTTGAAGCAGGGAGCTTGGAATAGACAATCAGAAAAAGTCACTTCCAATCTCAGCTGTTACGTGATTTTGTGTAATATGTAGAGGAAGATCCCAAGGGAGATGGAGACAGCAGGGTTATTACACATTAATGTGCAAAGAAAGCACTGTGTCGTAGGTGAGGCACTTGGAATGGGAGTGTATGGCAAGTGCCACAGAGGAGTACTGTTTCCATGTTGCACAGGGAGCAATATCGCCTCATACTGGGAGGCCCTTGGACGAACCTCTCTTTGTGCTTTCTGGAGCTGTATTATTCGCACCAAGAGTTGCAGAAGATTTCAGACTTTGTCTTGCTACCCATATGTTACCTGTCAAGCCTTCCGTCTGGTGCTGCACAGCAGCCTGTGAGAGAAGCAGAGTCTCAATTCTTCAGAAAACAAAAATGCCAGTAGCAACAAAGAGGTTTTCAAGGTATTTATTTTTGTCTTTGTTTCAAATAAAGACTTCTGAGGCATTTTAATATTGTTAAAATTTTGGCCATTTTTGGTTTTTAAGGCAAAAACTCTCAACTGCCTATTGGCATGAGAACCAGAACTGTGCCTGGGAAATTATACCTGCCATGTGAAAGCACAGAGGTGCTCAGGCAGAGCACAAGGGATCCAGCCATGTTCCGGGAGCACCTGCACCTTTCCACTGCATGCTTGCTTAGTGGGCGAGAGCACAGAGAGGCTGAACCACAGACCCCGTCTCTCTGGGGCACAGGAAGTGCTGCTTCTTCCAAATCTCCTCAGGGTTTTGGGTTGCTCAGAAACCACAGCAGGCATTCATCACTCCCCTGGCCAGGTCTGCCACCCTCTTCATGGGGAACGCTTTTCCATTGCCCTTTAAATATTGTGCCTCCTACCTGGTCTGTGGTGGCCGGGGCCATGTCCTAGCTGTTGGTACTTTGTTGCAGGTTTGGTCCAGTATTGCTGAATTTGCACTTTTTGCTGCCTTCTCTTTTCTCTTTTGAGAAACGAGAAGCTTTGTGCTTGCTTGTAAGCCTCGTGGCTCCTTTGCTTTTTTCCAATTCCTTCATTTTGACCTTTGCTGTCGTTCAGGAAATAACGTTGGTCACTGAGGCATATCTTTGTACTTTAAGCACTTTCCAGTTTAATAATCATAGGAAAGCTAGTTTGCAAATGTAACACTTTTCAAGTCTTCTTATTGTTTAAGCATATGGGCTTTTAAATTTAACAGACTGGATTAACTGCTTCTGGCTACAAGAGATGTAAAAGGTGAATAAACTGCTTATGATAAATGTTCAGATGTGGAAATTTTGCATCTCTTGGAACTGTTCATATCGCTACTTTAATTTTTAAAGAACAAAAATTAAAGTATACCTGGTAAAATAGCTGGTTTTACCACTGAAAAACAGCTCAGTCTAATGTGAACGTCAGAACTGTAGCACCAGCTGCTTTCCTCTACGGATCTGCTTTTATCGTACCTCACTATGTGCTAATGTGGAAATAGCTGATATTAATGAGAGAGTCCCTCCTCTCAAGACTCTCAAGGGGGAAATGCTTTGCCGAATAGTTGTCAATCTACTTATTATTTCTTATAGCTTTTGAGTTATATGATTTTTCAGATGATTTCATCATCTAAAATGGCAGAGCTGCTGGAATAGTTTACCAGAGTAATTGTCAGTGCATCTTTAATACCGATTGGAATGATACTGAAAAATACATAAGGATAAATTAGTATTCCATTGGGCTGTTTCTTGGTAATCTGTAATACAGAGAGGAGTCAAACTCTAGATGTGTGCATTCAGGCATTTCATAAATGCCTAGGAAATTTCATAGATACATGCTTTATTCATTCTAAAGATCTGATTTTGTACTAAATCCAATTTTACTCACGACAGTTACAAATGTAACGACATTTTTAAGGGTTTGTGGTCCAGAAAATTAATATAATTCTCATTACAAACATTTGTGATTTTCTTTTATTATATTAACAAAACCAATCAATTGTATGCATCAAAATCAATAAGGTATGATTAGAATTAAAACAGGACGTTGTACTGAGTCAATGTATCCATATTTGCAGATGGCAATGGAGACATAGGAAAAGAAAGACAGAGAATATTAGGATTCTCATGTATTTCTTAAAAACAAGAGATGTAGCCTTGAACTATCACAGGATCAAAGAAGCCCAGCTGCATTCATGGAAGAATGCTGTACTTGAGTTTTGAACTTCACCTGAGGGCTTTCCAGGGAGTAACTGAAGTTTACTTGTTAAGCAAGCTCAACAGAGACAGGGATTATTTTGAAAGCTGTGTTTTTTCACAAAACTCCCATGGAGAAATAAGATTCTTTAATACCATTTGCACAACTTTTCACAAAAATCAAAATGTTCTCAAATTTGAAGTGCTTTCCAATGTTTTAAACAGAAATTGAGAAGACTTTTTTGCCTGGTGATTCTCATTGAGTTCTCAGTCGTCTAGGTCATCCAGATATCCATGTTTCAGGCTTTGAATCTGCACTCTGTGAGAAGGCATAACTGCACCTACACAAAGTCAGATCTCTTTGCCCTCTCTGAAGTGGAAGGAAGACTCTCCATTACTTTGGAGAACCTCTCAAGAAATTCAGAATTAGATAAAGAACTCATGGTGAGAGGACAACTCTGGTGACAGTGGACATGTACACCATTTCCCAAGAGCTAAGTAAAAAAAGAATTTAAAATTTACATAGGCACCAGTCAATAACCTACATAGCAGAATCTTACCCACAAGCATCTCCTCCAGACTGGAGATCTCAAAGCCTGTGTTTCAGGAGCAACAAAATGGGTTTGTCAGCAGGATGCTACCGGAAAATGGGGTGAGCACAGCCCATGGCTTTCTACGTAATGGGCTCCCAAAACCTCGGAGTCATGCCTGCAACTTGTTCCTGAAGTGAAAATCACTTGGCTCCTTTCTGGCTGGTGGGTGCCTCTATTCTCTGTTGGCTCAGTCTTTGCTCAGCACAAGCAATCCTGCCACCAGCATGAGAAGGGAAAGGACTAAACATGCTTGCTGCTGTTTCCTCACCTGCAGGTATGTCTTTACTACGGAAGCTTCCCAAATGGGCATTTCTTAGATTGGGCTTTCCACTTGGAGTAAATATTGAAGAGATGAGATTACACTACAATACTAAGCAAAAGGGGTCTGTTTCTGAGGGGAAGGCAAGTATTATTTCCAGCTCTTTCTTTAGGGGGAACGATATCTGCCAAAGAAGAGGATGCTGTTGGTTGGATTGTGTTTGATCAAGTAAAGAAATGGGTGGTCAACCCTAAACTCTTCAAACTCAGAGGAATTATCAATGTCTTCTATCAGATCTGCTGAGCCTGAAATCTCGGTGCCCTCTTCATTGACTTCCATGGACACCTCATGGATGGCCTCAGATAACTTCAGACTCTCTGCTGAAGAGATGCCAGACAGATTGGCCAAAGGGCTGAAGAGATCTGTCATACCCAAGGCCATTAAGACAGATGTGAGGTTGTATTTTTCCTCAACCTTCATGTGTGGGAGGTACAAATTCACTCTCTTTTTTTTCATCACACTAGGACTGGTCCACTCCGTAAGTTTTTCAAAGCTGATTTTGTTCTCAAGCTGCAAAGAGAGACAGGGAATGAAATGCTTGGGATGTGAACACAACTTCTTCCTACCATTCATTTTAATCAAGGCTATCAAAAAATTAAACCAGAATGATTCTTGAAGTGCATCCTGTCAACATCCTTCTTGTAGTTTATCATTTGCCCCTCCAGTACAGCCTGTGTCACTGTCCTTTTATTCAGTTCCTTACCCCCCTGACACATCCCCTTCTGTCCAACTAACCTTTGTGCCTCGTGAGGCACAACGCAACAATTTCACAGCCTAGCAAATTACTCAGCTTGTGAAAGAGATTGCAAAAAAAAGCCATGAAAATTTACTTACAGTTGATAGTACTTAACAAATGCAAAGTCTTCTACTTCTTTAATAATTCTATAACATATTTCCAAAAAAATGCTGCGACAAGAATAATGGGTTATATAATGCAGGCTGCATCACTTCTTCCCTTTCTTTAGTACAGATAGGTAATTTGATAACACCTTGATAACCTTTTAAAAATGATTGACACCAGAATTCTGATTTTTTTGCTACTTCTTTCAGAAATCCTGCATGAAGATAATTCAGTCCACCTGACTGAAGCAATTTAATGTTTCAAGTTTTGTTTCTCCCTTGCATCTCTCCATTTTTATTTCCTCTTTGCTGTTAGCATCCTGTATTCACTCATTTGTTTAGCTTTATTTTCTTCCAAGATCAAGTCAAAAGTTTCATTTAATTTTGCACAGTCAGTAGATTATATTTGTATTCCTGCCTTACCACGTACTAGTCCCACTTTTTTTTTTCTATAAAGGACAAACCCATTTTTTTACTAGTTTTCATGCATCTGGCAAAAACTGACTCAACCTGACTTAAAGCAGTTTTGATGTATTCTTTTACTTTCTATGCTCACTTTCTGTCCTTATGTGTTCATGGATTCTTTCTGCTGTTGATGTTCATCCCATTAGACCCAAGACTCTTCTGTTTGCTTTGTTTGATGTGTAATTTCCAAATATCTTCCATCCATTTCCTTTCCATTTCTATATTTAAGACTCTCTGAAGTCTTAACTGATGAAATGCTATTGAGCAGTTAGTTGAGCTTGATTGGTTTCACCATTTCAAAATCAAGACTACTTTATTAAGAGCATGCTTTATCTAACTTTTGGTTTTCATTCCATGATGACATAACCAGAGCAATTTTTGAAAGCAGGCCATTTATGATGTATAATGAGGACTTTGTTAAAAAAAAAATCATTAGTGATTCCTACAAAGAATGCCTTATTCTTGTCAGTTTTAGCAACATTTCCTTAACAGTTTATATGGGGGGATGGGTGAAATAACCTCTCAATGAAGAAAAAAAAATATGCCCATACATACATCCTCTTCTGCAGGGCTACAGCAGCACCAAGCTCCTTTACTTTTATCAGATGGAGTCCAGGGGTCTCGTAAGAGGCCAGCCTCTGCCTGAGCACCTGGTAGCACCTGCAGGCTTTTGTGCTCCCCTGCCTGCCCAGCACAGCCGTGGTGCGGGCAGCTGCGATGTAAATGGACTGCAAGAGGTCTGACCACAGCCAAGTCCCACTGAAGTGATAACTCTTCTGCTTCCCCTGCCAGGGCCATACCTGCTCCAGACCAGAGACATCATCAGGCAACAGCACCAACATGCTCAGCTCTCCACTGGTGTACGGAAGCTCCAGGATCTTCACTTTGTCTGCAGCCACCGCTGCCAGCTTGAAGGTATTGTTCTGACACATCATTTGCACAGGTCTGCTTTCTTGCTGCAGAACAGAAACATGAGACGATGTGACCGGGGAGCAATTTTCTCTTTAGGCAGGCAAATGTACAAGCCCTTTGAAAGGGACAGGGATCGATCTTCAAGCATGTTGCCTTTTAAGAAGAGCTGTGTCTCCATTTTCCTCTCTTGCCTGCAGGTGAGCTCTGATCAGACACAGCTCTTGCAGACCTGACAGCAAGGGGCCCAGCTAATCACCCAGCCAATGACCACAGCAAGTTGTCTGTGTGACAATCAGACCGCTGGCTCTGCAAGTCAACAGCCTGGCCTCCTGGCCAGAAGCCCCCTACCTTTGTCACGCTGAAGGGAAATTCCCGAGTGTCATCTTCTTTAAATGCCTTCTTCCATATCCCTTTGAAGTAAACGGCATTCACAAGGACCAGCTCAGTATCAAGATCAACAGAGCCTGGTTCAAGGAAATCTTGGATCTGTCCTTTAAGGAAGAAGCAGGGCAGAGAGTTGTAAGTTTCAGAGCACTGATCTTGCATTTTAGAGGTCAACTGACATGCTGCTGCTTGACTTGACTCCCCTCTTCTTCAAAGGTCTGCATGTAGAATTCAGGTTCATGAGGATGATTTAATACAGATTGACTGACACCTGGCCAGACATTTCTGCAAGAAGACGGGTGGGTTGAAGAGTGGTATACATCCCCAGGAATATTTCTAACCACTGGTTGGAAAAAGATCTATATAGAAAAGACGGAACAGGAGAGGGAAGCAGGGATATAGATTTTCTGTTTCTCACTGTGCTTCTTTCTCACACTTCACTTTTTTTCTTCCTCCCACCTCAGCACAATAAATGTGCATAAACTCCTGAGTCATTCTTTTCCCACCATCAGCGTAGTACACACATCACTTTCTCCCCTGGAAGCCCACTTCTTACCCATCCAGCACATCCTTGCAAAATTATGCCAGTATTCTAGTGAAGCTGGGACTAACCTTGCATGATTTAAGCCCTTCAGACACAAAAAGTGTGCATGTAAGGTGTGCATATCCTGACACCTGTGCCTTTGCCAGATATGTTTAAAACATGCTGTCATTGCCACACAGGTGCCACAGAGTCATCACTTTCCACAGGAAATAGCCACCAATGGGGACAGGCGGAGGAAATTTCTCCTCTAATGTTTAGGTTTTCCAGAAGTTGTTGACATACAGTTGTGAGAGCGAAGTGTATTCCAAAATCTTGTCTGACTTTACCATTTGTCTGATCTTCCACCCAGGTGTTAATGAGCTGTCTGGCTTGATCTGATGCTGTTTTGAAGTTGACCATTTCCAGACCTGCTCTGTACAGTTTCTTCACACATTTTAAGTAGATCTGTAAAGACAGCAATTGTAGCCACCAAACTAGCCATTTTTTAAAAACAGGATGAAGGTGAAATAAAATATGGCTAAAAGGATTTTTATAGTGATGCCATGGTTAGGTTGTTCTCATTGTTTACTTCCTGGAAGAACCTTCCAAAACTGGGACAAAAAAATTATTCTGATCCATGACATTTTCAGATCTGACATTATTATTATTGACCAGTTAAGAATATATATTAGAAATGTTTCAACATTTTCTTGAAGAAAGCCTGATCCCAAAACACTATTTCAGGTTCATTTCAGATTGTCTTCTTATCATCATGTCCACTTCTTCTTTTTTTTTTACAAAAACCCATTTTTCATTATTTTTAAAGATAAGAAGTTTCTTTGATTTAGAATATTTGTATCTTTTGTTTTGAAAGTGTCAAATGAAAAATGTTGACAATTTCAAAAGTTGTTTTTGAGGTAAGGTTTTCAAGTGAAGAAATGTGCTGAAGCCAAATTATTTCCGGAAAAAAACCACCAACCTATCAAAATTAAAAGACTTTGGGAGAGCAAGATGGGAGGGGGGAATTAGATTACCAAATAGTTTTGTTTATTGCTCCATTTATTTTTTAACAGGGCCAACTTTTTGCCTGGAATTGCTTTCCATTCAGGCCATTGTCAGGGCTGTGGCAAAGGGAAAAGCCATAGAATTCCACACCAGTGGGGACCACTGGGTTAACAGATCACCTACTCTGGCCAGTCCTCCTGGATTACAGGTTTACACAGGATTGAGCAAGAAGTGTACAACTCACCGGTAGGATTGGACAGGTCTTTTCAGCATAAAGTCTGTTGGCAATGTGGAGTGAATAATTGGCTTTTGGTGCAGTGATATCAGAGAGAAGTTCTTTAAACAGTATGTGGATATTCACAGACTTGCCACACTGAGTCGTTGATAAGAAGATAAAAAGGTATAGCTGTTAGCTTATTTTACTAAGAAGAGAATTATTTATAAGGTACAAATAACATGGGAAAACTCACAATGTTTGGACATTTGCAAATGAATATGTACTACAGTCTAAAATCTCCATGGGAGGAATGTTCAATATAAACAACTAATGATGTACAATTAATTCATAGCATATGATAACACTCATTCTAGGTGATAACAAGCAGAAAACCGTATAGCTCAGGGGTCATATGACAAAAAGAAAAATTCAGGTGTCAATTGTGGCAGTTGGTGAGTTGTCATAGATATAGAGGTTCTACTTCTAGTTCCCAGCTTGTGCTTGCATTTCCATGGCAGCTTTCTGCTGAAGCTGCAGATGGGAGAAGAGTGCTAGATGGCAAAGGAGTCAGAAAGTGTCTCACAATCTAGTGAAAAAATGGATCAACTCTCTGTTGCCCCAAGAATAGTGTTCCAGGTGACACAGTCCAAAAGCGTGTAAGAAAAACACAAAATGATAAACAGTGACTGGGACTTAATTTTATTAGATGGAGAATTGTGTTGAATCTCTCCTTTCTAAATGCTTAACAAGCCACTAAATGCTCTAGCTGATATTACCTTTATTTTTCTTTATTTAAAAAAAAAGTCTTCTTGTTCTTTGCAAGTCCCATCTTGTGCTTGTGGATCTGAAGTGGATGGGGACAGGTCAGGGAGCATGGCTTGGTTTTCTTCACAAAGGCAGCTGATTAACGTAAAGGAAAGCACACAGGTGGCATCGAGGTACTGGGACACCTCATGGTGCTCTTGGTGTAGCAGTGGGAATTGGAGGTTGGAAAAGTCCCTGTAGCTTTTGGAAGAGTGTGGTTACTTTCCAGCCTTTGAGGCTTCTGGGCTCTTTTCTGCCAAAGCATCTTCATGGCCTGCTTCGACATCTCAGATGCAAGTCTGACCACTGTACCTGGCTCCAGGTGCTGAGCCCCTTTCACGGGCTGTCCCTCAGCAGCATCTGCTCACCTATGCAAGAAGGTAGCCTGATGCCTAAAGCATCCTACCCTGTCATGTCCCTTGTTCTGGTGCAACATGTGCCGCCTGTCTTTTTCTGTGGTTCTTTTTTAACTCACACATTTCAAATTAAGAGCTTTAAAAAAGGTTTGGGAAGGTGATGAACCTACTTGAAGCGCAGTCAGAACAGTCTATTCTCAGGAGACAAATGTGAAGGGGAAAAAAATGTACCTTAGATTTCTGTACCTTGGTCTGAATAGTTCCTCCAAGTCCAGCAATTTTGTCAAAATGAAGAACCTGCAATTGAAAGTAGCAATAGAAGAATTGAGTACGTGAAGTCCACTGAGAGTCACTGATGTTTCTGTTGAAACTATAGATTTGCACTAACCAGGTCTGATTACCACATATGTAAACTGTGAAGTTTCATGTGAGCTTTAAATCAGTGGGGTTTTTTTACTGCATGTGCCACACTGAAAATTTATGACTACGGTCCTCCACTTAGATGCCTTCTTTTCCAGTTAATGATATTCAGTCTATAAACCAGCTACAGCCTTACTGTATTGTATTTATAACTGTGACTCTTGTTTTCTGAGTCTTTCATCCTTTGTATATTAGAAGTTGTCCTTTCCACCTGGAAGGAATCAGGTCTGTGAGATAACACAAGCCGAAGCAAGAGACCAGACCTGACTTAACCGTTCTTCAAGACTGCTCTCTCTTAATGGAAACCAAAGGACCTTCTTACCGATCATGGAGAAAAGCAATGGTAAGTGAAAACTCAGCTCCAGATCCAAACCTCACAGTTTGAAATGCCTTTTTTTTTTCTCAGCAGGTTTGAATCTAGTGCCAAATGTGACTGTGTGATGCTTTCCTCTCAGCTGGAGAAAGTCCCAAAGATGTAAATGGATAATCTGTTGCTGTGTTGAACGGGATCAAAAGGAGTTTGTATCCACTTATGCAACTTACCTTCTCCATCTGATACTCAGTGTTACCTCTTGTTCCTAGATAAACCATGGCCAAGGCTGCAATGATGTTCAGGGGCGAATACAAGATGTTATCGTTGGCATGGTGGACTTTCAGCTCTTTGAATACATCAAAAGAAAATTCTGCATTTGCTGCACTGATGGAGCCCATTGTGAAATCAGTGTTGTCTGAAGCAAACAGAAATATGATTGTATAGTGGTGATATGTAGCGCTTGTTTTAAAATGTACTGTCAATAGTCCAGAAACTGTGAGTACATTGCTGGTTTTGTGATGTTGAACCAATGAATGACACGAAGGCTACAGGTTTTGTGATCATTAGAAATATTGTAACTCCTGACCTGTTTATCTCTGAATGCATGTTTGTGTTCTTTCAGCAAGATACTGGCTCATCATCAAGATAGTGTCTTGTACTTGCCTTTTGGGAAATAGCTAGCTTCATCCATGTTTCAATATGATAAATATAACACTGAATAGATGAGTTTCTCTATGGGCATCCAGAGGACTCTGAATGCTTTTTTATGGCAATGCAAACTTCATATTTCATTTCAGTGGCTGCTTTGGACAATGCTCTGGATCTTTAAATCAAATGTAGTCAAACCACTATACTCCTAGTGTAATTCTTCCTGTTGCCTAGTACAACCAGCCACAAATTTGGAGGTTGCTTTCCTGTACTTTACAAGAATAACAGGAGTAAATTGCTCTGGGTTTACAGAGCTGAACTATAGATTTAGGGGGATTCTTTCCTGTAGTCCCATTTCAGAGATTTAATCTCTGCTGTTGTTTTTTTCTTGAGAAAAAGCACAAGCATATATATCATAAATCCTGGCTTGGTCAGTTCGGCCTGAAACAGCATAGAGCTGCATTCATTCAGTCAGGTGCAAGTCCTGTACATGCAAATGAATGTGACATGTCAAGGATATTCATTGAATCCTGCAGTCATCACACCAGATTTTCAGTGAAAAAGAAGTCTTTCTACTCAAAGCTATAGTGTACAAACACTCATATTTTGCACACCTACAAGTATTTTGAAAGTCAAACATAAAGCAAGGTAAAGTTACTTTACTGTATATGCTATCTTTTTACATATCTGTCCTATACTTATCTTAAAGTGTTTAAACATAATATAAGTTTTTTCCATATTAAAAAAATACAAATTATAAATTATATTTTACTTGAAGAAATACTTACCCCACAAACTTCAAAGACATATGTAATAATCCAGTTCACCAGCCGAACCTAAACAGATTCTCTGACCTCTTGGTGATATATATTGTACCATTTGAGACACTCCCACTGTTAGCCTTCAAGGAGTCCTCTTTTGAGTCACTACCTTTCATCATGACCTTTTGATTCATTGCACTTTGAAACATTGAGTAGACCAATGTTATGCTGGTACTTTATCTACAGTAAGTCAACCTTTATTTATTGAAGAAAAACCTAATTTTAAAAATGAATTATTTAAGCTTTTGTTGTAACTTATAAGTTCAAGTCTAAAACTACATTGCATGCAGTTCTTTGAATTTACACATTAATGTGATTGGGCCAGATTAGGTAACTAGAGCCAAGTGAAAAACAAATGTAAAAAAACTGAGGAAAAAACAGTGTTGCAAATATACCCAGTGAAACAAAATACATTTTCAATAAACCTAGCTGTAACATCAGATCAGGTGATTCTCACAGTTAAGTGAAGCTAAAGATCCCAAAATACTAAGACCTGATCATAGTGCAGTCATATGGGAGTGAGTAAACAGTTCCCGCCACAGTCCGTGGTTAGTAACCATCCATGGATACAGCTGAGGAAAGAGTCTTGTATTGCCAGGGCATGCAAAAAAGTGCATCAGTCCGTGAAACCGTAGCTGTTTCTCTTTGTCTCACCTGTGAGTCACTGACACAGTACTCCCACCAAGCGTGAAGGGAAGAGTAGATACCAGGCTAACTGCTGAACATCTGATATATATGCAACCTCTCACTACAGCATCTGTGCAGCAGAACAAAGGGAAGTTCCTCGTGGACAGTGACCGTCTGGCGTTGCCAAAATAATGCAATTCCAAGCTGAGCCAGCTGCGGGGTGGTCATTCCATTCAGAGGGCTTTGAAGTGGATTTTTTTCCATGTAAGAACAAACCCAAAGCTTTCTGTTTATTTTTCAAGACCAAAATAGTACTGAAAGGTGTTTTAGTCTGCCAAAATGCAGAAGTATGTTCCTGGAGTCCAAGGATTGGTGTGGTTTATAGCTTGCACTTGGTAAAAGCATAGCCACATCTATTTCTGTACCTAGGTGAGAACAAAGTTTTTTACCTGAGGCCAAACTATAGGGTCTACAGCATACATGTGGAGGAGGGGAGAAGGGCTCTGAGGAGAAAGCATGTTTTACTAAAACTTCATTTTGATGAAAACATTCAGAGCAGCAGTGTTGAGATGAAATAGAGGTCTAAGGGTGGGCATGACAGAGGAAGAGATTTGAGGAACAGTCAGGAATTACATGTTTGCTGGGCTGTTAAGTCAGACCCCAGAGTATTCAGATATTCAGAAATGGATTTTAACCAGTCAGTAGGATTTAAAGGATGATTGAGGGTCAGCTTTTAATTTTCATTCTCTGCAGGTCATGGCAACAAGGCCCATGGTACATGCACAGGCCATTCTCATAGATCTTCCATACCTACCTTTTTACTATGGCAGGTGAATAAGCTACAGAATCTGTCTGCAGGAACATTCATGGTCTGTTAGACAATCATAATGCACAATAGCAAACATAATTCAATTGTAAAAAGCAATTACTCTTTATTGAATAATAGACTTGATGAGCAGTAAAGAAACAAATCTGGCATCTGTAAAGGCCATAGGGGTGGATAATAAAATCCCAAATTTGTACATATTAAGTCACAGAGCGTACAGGAGTAGGTGAACCCTCTCTGAAAGGGAAAGGGAGCTACTTCATTCTTAATAAGTGTGTTTTGTTTTACTGAACTGCAGGCATGTATGTGCAGAGGCTCTACTGGCATCTCTCAGTGATCTTAAATTACCTGTGTCTACATTTAGCACATACCCAGGTATTTGCTGTGCTGGAGATGATCAGCTCTGTGTGGTGCATACACTCCGAGACAGACTGCCACTGATATTGGTGCTAGCACTTTTAAGAAAACCAGCACCTTCTATTAAACCTCTCAGAGTCAGTGTGTCAGCCTGGGGGTAAAGTTAGTGCCTAAGGTGTTCTTTTCCCTTCAGAGCTCATAGTAGCTGGTATGTCAATGTGCATTGTGTTTGTACAGTAACCCAAGGTAAAAGGAGGCCGAGTACATCCACCAGTCCTCTATGCCCCTTGATTGCTTGTTGGCTCTAGCAATAACTCAATTTATTATAATAAAGCAGCAGTAAAACAGTGACTGTCTTCTCGCTGCACAGGTTTGTGCAATTGCCACACCTCCAGGCAGCTGGATCTCACTTGCTGCAACAGCATCGTGCTGGTGGTGCTCTCTGGCAAGCAGTGCTGCTCTTTGCCTGGTGCACACAGCTGCTGAGTGGCTCATCTGTGCAGCCTCTAAAGGGACCTAAGTTTGTCGATGCTTTCATCTTTTTCTTTGTAGTATTAGCTCCAACGAACAGCATTTGAAGCAATACCTTACAGAGTCTGAGTATCTTTCTTACTGGGGTCATAAGGAACCAGGACTTCCTGACATAAAACCTTCTACTAATTGTAGTTCGAAGGAAATAAGCACTAGTTTTCTTATGAGGGGAAAAAAAAAAAAAAAAAAAAAAAAGTATTACTCAAAACTGCTCTTTGCCTTTTTCAGTGACAACCCAAAAATCTTCCTCTGCCCTTCTTGTCCATCCATGGCAAATCATTTGAAGATATAATAACAATTATGTTGTACATAGGTACTAAGAAACAGTTTAAAGGAAAGCAAAACACCAGAGAAAACTGAGGAGAACTGCAACAACCAGAGAGATGAGAGTTCAGTAGAAATGTGAATATGTCAACTGAAAGTTACTCAGTCATCAGACTGTGGAAAGACACAGATCTGTCTAGTGTGGGACAAATGGGCCTCATCTTTCCATAGATGCTCATGCAAATAGCATTTGACTTCTTTTGCTTTGCTTTTCAGCAGTGTAGGTATTTATAGGCTGTGAGGTATGCTGGCGTGGTTCAACAGGCCGTGCATCAAGCCTGTCCCTGAGGAAGAGGCAGTGGCATCCCCTTCACTATTGTGTCTGCTCCAGGCACCATTTGGAGGCTCTGGCTTTTCTCTGCTCTGCAAGCTCTGTTGTTTGGCACTGCACAAGTATAAGCTACAGCTTCCCACGGGAGAAGCACTTGCTGTCAGAGTAGGTTTTACCTTCCATCTTTAAGTAAACATCTCTGATTTTGTGGGAGAGCTGCCCTCTACACTAGGAGCTGCTACCACTACACTAGCAGCCAGAGGCTACTTTCTGGCTCCTGGTTGTTTTCATCAGATTTTTTAGATATTTTATAAATTAATATGGCAACTAGAAAAAAGATTACATGAAAATATTTTTTTTTATTTATACTGCATTTGTTCCTGGTTTTGAAATTATCTAGATATCCATGGAGCAAGTTTAAAAAAAAAAACTACTGCAAAGATCATAAGTGACTACTTCTGCTGTAGGAAGCTAAGTAACAATCCTTGTTTCAGCCGCACCTTCTCCTTTGCTCACAGAATTCCTTTTCCTGTTGTGAGACTCATGGTCTTTAGGATAACATTTTATTATTTAATAATATGTTGCCTTCGTCACATATGCCATTAATTGTTTTTCCTTTACATTTTAGGTCTGATTATGCAAGCCAATACATTCTAACACTGTTCATTTCACAGATGGCAGCAATAGAAAAACATGCATGGGGTTGGTTTTTTTTTTGCACACCCTATTCATCAGAAGAGCCCACAGCCTGTTTTGTGTTCTGTTCTCTTACCAGCTAATTGACATGAAAACTGTGCCTCTACTGGTGATTTTACTATTTCAGACTGTAGTTCATAATGAAATTGTAGCCATGTAAGACAACTCGACAACTATCACAAGGCTGCTTTACTTAGCAACTGAATTTACGTTGAGTACAGTAATTTACTGTCATTTTTCCTGCATATCTCAGCATTTGGAAGAGCCCTTTGAATCCGCAGTTCTGAAATGCCACTAGTATGCTCCCA